TCAAAGTTATATATATTCAGAGACTAAGAATTAGTATAGCCTATATCCATCTGATACAGCATGCAAAATCCCATTCTGTTTAGTATTCCCCGCCCCGCACGTGCGGCACGTGTCACTCCGCCAACAGTAGCCAGGAATACGGTTGGAAATAATGTGGCCATTAGCGTGAGCAATGTGTTCTGTCCCAGCAGCGATGCCATGCACGCAACCCTGTAGCTATTGCGGTCAATGTGACATCAGGTCAGGTCAGTGACCTCAGCACGTACATACAGTATGACGTCATAATGGCTGCTGTCAGAGAGTCAGATCTCGAGCAGCAGCCTGGAGACAGTGATGCCCTGGTTGCGACCTACAGGATGGAAACATGACCATTTGTTTGCACCGAAATAACACTCGCATCTAGTTCTTTGCATAATTGTCTTGTACATGCGATATATGTTTCAAGTCATTTCACCTAGTCAAAGTAGGTTTAAGTAAGTTTAATGACATTGGCACATAGGTGGGTTTACTTGGTGCTAACATAATGAAACGCCATTGCCTTGTCTTTAAACACACCGGTAGCCTCTGAATGTGAGCGTGGCTGTGGGGTGGTGGTTCAGGTGGGCAGTTGTCACGCTGATCGCTTGGGTTCAATTCCCTATGGTTACAATGTGTGTGGCTTTAACATCGGTGTGTTACGTCGTGATAAATACAAAAATACTGCTAAAAGAGGCATAAAACGTTAAACAATACACACTCACAAACTCTTGGGAATAAAAAAAACCCAGCCTGTCACAAACGCTGTCAATGCGACGTGTCATTGTGCGTACCCAATTGCCATTCCTTTGAGAGCCTGTTTTAGCTTCCTTACTTCAATTTTAAAAGTTAATCTTTTAAACACATTTTACTTCATTCATCTATATTTTGTGTGTATTTTAGACAACATTGATTTAAAACTATGGTGAAAATTCTTCTGGCCGTCCGTTTTGCCGGATATCCACGTAATGGAGATCTCTTCATACGTAGTCAGATAATGCAGGGTATCTGTTGGAAGGGTTGGTCGGGTCAGATAATGCAGGGTATCTGTTGGAAGGGTTGGTCGGGTCAGATAATGCAGGGTATCTGTTGGAAGGGTTGGTCGGGACAGATAATGCAGGGTATCTGTTGGAAGGGTTAATCGGGGTAATCTCTGTTGGAAGGGTTGGTCGGGACAGATAATGCAGGGTATCTGTTGGAAGGGTTGGTCGGGACAGATAATGCAGGGTATCTGTTGGAAGGGTTGACAGATAATGCAGGGGTATCTGTCGGGTCAGATAATGCAGGGTATCTGTTGGAAGGGTTGGTCGGGACAGATAATCAGATAATGCAGGGATATCTGTTGGAAGGGTTGGTCGGGACAGATAATGCAGGGTATCTGTTGGAAGGGTTGGTCGGGACAGATAATGCAGGGTATCTGTTGGAAGGTTGGTCGGGTCAGATAATGCAGGGTATCTGTTGGAAGGGTTGGTCGGGTCAGATAATGCAGGGTATCTGTTGGAAGGGTTGGTCGGGACAGATAATGCAGGGTATCTGTTGGAAGGGTTGGTCGGGACAGATAATGCAGGGTATCTGTTGGAAGGGTTGGTCGGGACAGATAATGCAGGGTATCTGTTGGAAAGGTTGGTCGGGACACCATTAACGAGGGTATCCTGAAGCCCATACAGACGAAACGAAGAATGGATCGACATTCTTCACACGAACAAACAACCTGTTTCTGCCGTTACACGATATCAGTATCGATATATTTGATGAGTTTTAAGGTTATTAACCGATAAACACACGTGGGGGCACTATGCAGTATTTGTCTCGGTAATAGACTCGGACTGTAATTCCCACACCCTGACAATATCGCCGTGATGACTACAACCGTCTCCATTACAAGTCGGAAACATATTCATTGCTAAACAATTCCTATACAATCTGGAATGACAAGATATGCTTCATCGAGTCCACATGTCTGATAACGGCGCTGTATTCGACAGAAATATCAGCTTATTTCCATATTCAATAATATTCACTGAAAGGCCTCTGCATGCCATTTATCCCCATCACAACGGGCAGTCTGTGCAACGCCGTGACGTCCTCTCCATCATGGGACGTGAACAACACTACAGGCCACGTAATTAAATCTCATTACCGTAGATATGTATATAGCAGAGATGCAGTTCGATGACTGTGACCTTGATCAATTCGATCATCTCCTGGGACAGTCTGGCTCGGAATTACCTTATCCACGTGTCAAGAGCTCACGTGAATCTACCACAGACTTCACCTCGAGGCAGAAACTAACCTGATTAATGTGGGTTTTTTAGTATGCTATATTAGACCTTTTGTGGTGTAACCATTACACCGGAAGTACATGTTTTGTACGTGTTGTGTAGGTCCGGCAATTGTGGGTAGATGTGAGTGAGTGAGTAAACAGTGTTCCAGTCAAATCACGATTGTTTGATTGTTGTTTAACGCCGCACTCAGCAATATTCCAGTTATATAGCGGCGATCTGTAAATAATCAAGTCTGGACCAGACAATCCAGTGATCAACAGCATGAGTGTCGGTCTACACAACTGGGATGACATATGTCAACCACGTCAGCAAGCCTGACCACCCGATCCCGTTAGTCGCCTCTTACGGCAAGCATGGGTTGCTGAAGACCAGTTCTAACCCGGATCTTCACGGGTAGACAAGCATGGGCTGCTGAAGACCATTTCTAACCCGATCTTCACGGGTAGACAAGCATGGGCTGCTGAAGACCAGTTCTAACCCGGATCTTCACGGGTAGACAAGCATGGGCTGCTGAAGACCAGTTCTCCCCCGGATCTTCACGGGTAGACAAGCATGGGTTGCTGAAGACCAGTTCTACCCCGGATCTTCACGGATAGACAAGCATGGGTTGCTGAAGACCAGTTCTACCCCGGATCTTCACGGATAGACAAGCATGGGTTGCTGAAGACCAGTTCTACCCCGATCTTCACGGGTAGACAAGCATGGGTTGCTGAAGACCAGTTCTACCCCAGATCTTCACGGATAGACAAGCATGGGTTGCTGATGGGTTGCTGAAGACCAGTTCTAACCCGGATCTTCACGGGTAGACAAGCATGGGTTGCTGAAGACCAGTTCTACCCCAGATCTTCACGGGTAGACAAGCATGGGTTGCTGAAGACCAGTTCTACCCCGGATCTTCACGGATAGACAAGCATGGGTTGCTGAAAACCAGTTCTAACTCAAAAACACCGTGTGGTGCTGACAAGCCCAGGAACATAAATGGGGCGAATCCGGATTCGAACCCATGAGCATAGGTTTCTGGTGTGCCCAAGGTACGCGAGCGCCTGAGACGACAGGGCCCCTGTACCCCAGTGGTGCAGATGTGTTCCGTCGAGCGTCAGTAGGGCCTCAGCAAGTGTGATATACTTGCTTGGTATTCAATCCAAACACAAACATCAGATCCGCTTTATAGATTTCACAGAGAGTCCCAAGAAGTGCTGTGTTTGTTGCTCAAAGCCTCACCATAAATATTTCAGATAGATGACATAGACCCATAATAATCGAGTCTGGACAAGACAATCCTGTGATTGACATCAGGAACATGGATCTACATAGTACGGATATGATGACACTCGACCAACTCACCAAGTCGGAACCACACGATTCATTCAGTCGCCTCGAGGGCGTGAGGGAGAGGGGTGTATCATACATGTGACACTAGTCCGCCTGATTGATGATATGGGCGGATAAGGGTCGAAGAAAACTTGGAATTTCATTTATCCATTCGTCCTTATAATTTTTTAATGAATTTGCCGTCTACAGGTGCGCAGGTAATGCTTTCATAGAGGTATGTGGGAGGGTGAGTAAAATGGGTTCTATGCCGTTTTAGCGATGTATTATTCATATTACGGCGTCTCTGCTAAACGTAGAACCCTAAATCAAACAGATCAAAAGGTTTTTTGCCTGCCGCCTTGGCCTAGTGGACAGAGTGTCTGCTCGGCGACCGGAAGATCAGAGGTTTGATCTCCAGCTGCATCATAATACACGTATGGTCAATTTGGGCAAATAGGCCACATACTCCATGTTCGACAACCGATGTCTGCAGTGGAACGTCAATAGACATCATGGTATCTGGCGAGAATTATCTGATTTATTCAATAACCACCGGCCTTTCTTTAGACACTGTACGGTATTGACCCAGCATGCATTAGTTGCCTCACCACTCAGTACCGCCAGTAATCAAATTAGTCCCAGGTCCATTCCAGTGTTTCCCGCCGTCCGTGTTGACAAGGAATTACCCATCTTCTTTATACAGTTGTATCATTTGATGACATCCACCCAGGGGGAGATAATCAATGCAGCCAGGTATGCCGTCGCTATGGTTACATGGAAGCACGTTACTCTTGTCAACACTTCCTATCGCCTACGCGGTGAACAGCAATTGTCGGTCTCGGCTTGTCGAAACAACAGGTTATTGATTACATTAATAACGGTATTGAATGTCATACAGATTCGCTATGATTCAGACGACCTTCTCGTCTGGTGTATCTGAACAATAACTTCATCACTCATCACCTCATCACCAACGAGATCAATACAATCGTCCATACACATCGCAAGTGTCAGCGTTGTCATCACTGTCACCATTGTCAGCGTTATCAACATTTTCATCAAGGTCACCAATATTTTTGTTACTAGTGTCCCCACTGCCATAAAATCATTATTATCATTGTGTTCATGATTGTCACTACTATCATAGTTAGCGTTGCCATCATATTTTATTGCCATATAGTCATCCTAATTGTCTCCACTATCATCGCTGCCACCATTGTCATCGTTGTCATCATCATTGTCCTTATTGTTATCATCATTGTCCTTGTGGTCATCATTGTACCCAATGTAAACCATTATCATCGTTGTCATCATCATTGTCCCTATTGTCATCATCATTGTCCCTACTGTCATCATCATTGTCCCTACTGTCATCATCATTGTCCCTACTGTCATCATCATTGTCCGTATTGTCATCATTATTGTCCCTATTGTCATCACCATTGTCCTTATTGTCATCATCATTGTCCCTGTTGTCATCATCGTTGTCCCTATTGTGATCATCATTGTACCCACTGTCACCAGTATCATCGTTGTCATCATCATTGTCCCTACTGTCATCATCATTGTCCCTGTTGTCATTATCATTGTCCTACTGTCATCATCACTGTTCCTATTGTCATCATCATTGTCCCTACTGTCATCATCATTGTCCCTGTTGTCATCATCATTGTCCGTCTTGTCATCATTATTGTCCCTATTGTCATCACCATTGTCCTTATTGTCATCATTATTGTCCCTATTGTCATCATTATTGTCCCTGTTGTCATCATCATTGTCCCTATTGTGATCAATACTGTACCCACTGTCACCAGTATCATCGTTGTCATCATCATTGTCCCTACTGTCATCATCGTTGTCCGTATTGTCATCATTATTGTCCCTATTGACATTGTCATCATCATTGTCCGTCTTGTCATCATTATTGTCCCTATTGTCATCACCATTGTCCCTGTTGTCATCATCCCTATTGTCATCACTATATTGTGATCAATAATGTACCCACTGTCACCATTATCATCCTTGTCATCATCATTGTCCCTATTGTCATCATCATTGTCCCTGTTGTCATCATTATTGTCCCTATCATCATTTATCATTATTGTGATCAATACTGTCCCACTTGTCACCATTATCATCCTTATTACCATCATCATTGTCCCTATTGTCATCATCATTGTCCCTATTGTCCCATATTGTCCCTATCACCATTGTCATTTCCTTATTGTGATCAATACTGTACCCACTGTCACCATTATCATCCTTGTCATCATCATTGTCCCTATTGTCATCATCATTGTCCCTGTTGTCATCATTATTGTCCCTATTGTCATCACCATTATCCTTATTGTGATCAATACTGTACCCACTGTCACCATGATCATCCCTATTGTCATCATCATTGTCCCACTGTCAGTAATTGTCATCATGTCATCTTTATCGAGGTTGTCACATATTGTCATTGTTATCATCATTGTGATGTTTTCATCATTATTGTCCCTATTGTCATCGTTATTACACTGTCATCATTGTCATCCCATCATTGTGCTATCATCCTTGTCATCATCATTGTCCCTATTGTCATCATCATTGTCCCTGTTGTCATCACCATTGTCCCTATTGTCATCATTATTGTCCTTATTGTCATCATCATTGCCCCTATTGTCATCATCATTGTCCCTACTGTCATCATCGTTTTCACCACTGTCATTGTTCTTGTCACTGTCAGTAATTGTGATCTGTGTCATCTTTATCGAGGTTGTCACATATTGTCATTGTTATCATCATTGTGATGTTTTCATCATTATTGTCCCTATTGTCATCGTTATTACACTGTCATCATCGTCAGTCCCATCGCCGCAGTTGCTATCATCAGTGTCATCGTTATCGTCACTGCCATCACCATCACTATTGTCACCAATTGTATATGGTAGCTTCAAGACTACCGTGTTGTAACCTGGAACAAGATTAAGTGGCAAAGTCACCTGAAATATCAAGTTCTGGTCTCCGTATGCTTCCATTAACATGTTCATGTGAATGACCTCAGTAAATACAAGGCCTGAATCCACAATGACGGTAATATACTTCATATCACGAAATTTGCGCAACGAATACAATACCAGCTAACACATTATTCATTATATTGAAACAATAACAAAGGAGAGTCTTTGACGTGTTTCGACCACACTGACTGTTAACCTATTACGATCACTAGTGACCACATTACTGTCAAACTAGATTCTGTAGGAATGTGGACTATTATCCTGTCTAGATAACCACCAACACTTAAACTGAAACAAAAACACTCCTTCATGAATATTCGAGTCAAGTGCTGGCGAATAACAGGATACTGTTCGATTAAAGTGAGTGAGATTAGTTTTACGCCGCTTTTAGCAATATTCCAGCAATATCACGGCGGGGGACACCAGAAACGGGTTTCACACATTGTACCCATGTGGGGTTTCGAACCCGGGTCTTCGGCGTGACGAGCCAACGCTTTAACCATTAGGCTACCCCACCGCCCCGAGTGAGTGAGTGAGTTTAGCAATATTCCAGCAATATCACGGCTGGGTATTCGAGTCAAAGAATATGCGAGTGAATCGTAAGAGCCCTACAATAAATATTAGTTCGTCATCAGATACGAATCTTGATCGCTTACTTTGCCTCATACAGTGAGATGGGTCGTTTGAATTCAGAACTTCTCGCGGAGCAGTCGGTATGAAACCGCAGTTGTGTTTCCAAACTTACGCATTAACCTCGGCGCCAGTTACTGTCGTTGATGTTGCTGCACTGAAGTAGCTTCAGCATCGAGTTATCGACGAAGTGGTCGCACCAGACACGTGGTGTGAGGACTGGTTTTAATCTTTGCAGACGCCAAGTGTTTTGACCAGACCGCCTCGCTAGACACTGCTGGGCAAATACTATGTGAAACATCACCTTGAAATTAAGTTTAAAAAACTTAACTTTGCTCCATAGAATTTAAACTATCTTAACAGGAACAAACAAACACACAAACAAACAACAGCTCAAATATTGCGAAAATGAAAGCAGAAAGAATAGCTGGATGTCATGGACGGTCTGAGACACCTGTAAATATTCAGAGACTCGTAAAAATCTAATACCTGTTTCATGTTCAAATAGCAGGTCTAATTTAACCTGTGTTCAAACTGAACAACGCAGATTTCAACACAAACTGTAGGATATAATATGTGATGGTCACATTTGCAAACTCAATTATCAATACCTTGTATTTCAGGGAAAAACGTCTTCCGTAATGTCGTGAAATATGAAAAAGGAAATTCGCAATTTACAACACCCAAGTCGCCATTAATGTAAAAAGATTATGTGAAACAAGAATTTTGAAATTTGTCTCTTGTTTCCGCGGAGCGTATTTTCAAAGCCGCCCAAGACATCCTTTCGGTCCTTGGGCGATAACGAATTCTTGTTTACTTACCATACAAGTATATTCTGTTGTTCTGGTAATATCTTGAACAAATTTAAAACAGTTTATCCCAACATCCATGTAATTCAATTTAAATAAATTAAATTTATATATCATAGCAAGGATCTAACTGACCAAACAAGTTTAGTTTCAATGTTATTTTCTCTGTTTTAGTTTATATTTTGTTTGAAATCCATTTAAATCATCCTGGAAAATAAGTGTGGGTAAATCAGATGTTAAACATTTTAAACGTGAAACTTGTGCAGCCTCAGAGACATTTCACGAAATGGTTAAGCAGTTAAAAAACAACTTCGCTCTCATCTTTAATATTTTAACCATTCTACGCCACATGTTTTTGATGATGGGTGTAGGGATATTCCTGTGACGTGCCTGAGGAAGCAGGACGTTGAACTTCAATGTCTGGGAGGATGGTAATATCTCACGACGTGGTGTTATCGAACAAGTTTCGGAATTATATATTCCTCATCTACATCGCTGAGATATATCAACATGGATTGTTATATTTAGTCACTGCCAATTTAGCCCATCCTCGATTATCGAGGGTAAATATTCTATTGTGATAAATGTCCTGGACCCTCCACGGGGGCGGTGGGGTAGTCTAGTGGTTAGTCGTCACGCCGAAGACCCGGGTTCAATTCCCCACATGGGTACAGTGTGTGAAGCCCATACTAAAAGCGGCGTAAAACTAGACTCACTCGCTCACTCAGACCTTCGCTTCCGCAGTGTGGTTCTGGAAGTGACGTAACCACTTTCATCGCTTTTATCACTAAAAATAAAACTGAATATTTCTTTCGCATGTAAAGGAAATTTGAAAAGACGGCTAGCTTAGCATGGTATTTCTCAAAACTCAAAACAAGGCTGTGTTAACGAAGCAGAGTTTGGCATAATAGTATGGAGATATAATATTGTAGATAATCGCAGGTGGTTGTATCCGCAGTATCAGCTGTATATATCGGTAGAAGGGCGTGTCACTTTTCCCCTTGCTTGCATCCAGATACCCCTGACAAGTGTTATTCATACGCGTGTTACACCTGAAATATACCTAGGGTTTAATGCTGCTCCAGGTCTTGTGTCGTCGGGGCCAGTCACGCAGACATACGCCAGCAACTTGAGCTGCGTGGTGACGTCACGCTGACACACGATCTACGTGACAATGTTTAAAAATCACGGTACGCTCATTAACCATCTGTGCACACAATTGCATTATAAAACCAATCTGAGGTTGTCATCAAATATTTTCCTTACAACCAAATCAGTATGGACGATCTGTATTTCTGGCAGGACCGGTCTCGTTTGGAACACTTTACCTGAGTAAAATGTGTATCAATAGATATTCATATGATTGCATTGCTATATGCACCAGCCACGAGTATACTGTTTCACGTAATAAAACGTATATACTGTGCTATGTGATATACACGAATATACTGTTGTATATGATCAAAAGGTATATACTGTGCTATTGTAGAAACACGAGTTAACTGTTCAATGTGACAAACACCTATATTCTACTGTATGTGATAAACACCTGTATTCTACTGTATGTGATAAACACCTATATTCTACTGTATGTGGCAAACACCTATATTCTACTGTATGTGATAAACACCTATATTCTACTGTATGTGATAAACACCTATATTCTACTGTATGTGATAAACACCCATATTCTACTGTATGTGATAAACACCTATATTCTACTGTATGTGACAAACACCTATATTCTACTGTATGTGATAAACAACTATATTCTACTGTATGTGACAAACACCTATATTCTACTGTATAAGACAAACACCTATATTCTACTGTATGTCACCTATATTCTACTGTATGTGATAAACACCCATATTATACTGTATGTGATAAACACGTATATTCTACTGTATGTGACAAAAACCTATATTCTACTGTATAAGACAAACACCTATATTCTACTGTATGTCACTTATATTCTACTGTATGTGATAAACACCTATATGCTACTGTTTAAGACAAACACCTATATTCTACTGTATGTGACAAACACCTATATTCTACTGTATGTGATAAACACCTATATTCTACTGTATGTGATAAACACCTATATTCTACTGTATAATACAAACACCTATATTCTACTGTATGTGATAAACACCTGTATTGTTTGTGATAAACACCTATATACTACTGTATGTGACAAACACCTATATTCTACTGTATGTCACTTATATTCTACTGTATGTGATAAACACCTATATTCTACTGTATGTGACAAACACCTATATTCTACTGTATGTGATAAACACCTATATTCTACTGTATGTGATAAACACCTATATTCTACTGAATGTGATAAACACCTATATTCTACTGTATGTGATAAACACCTATATTCTACTGTGTGTGACAAACACTTATATTCTACTGTATAAGACAAACACGTATATTCTACTGTGTGTGAGAAACACCTATATTCTACTGTATAAGACAAACACCTATATTCTACAGTATGCGATAAACACATATTTTCTAATGTATAAGACAAACACCTATATTCTACTGTATGTGATAAACACCTATATTCTACTGTATGTGACAAACACCTATATTCTACTGTATAAGACAAACACCTATATTCTACTGTGTGTGATAAACACCTATATTCTACTGTATGTGATAAAAACCTATATTCTACTGTATGTGAGAAACACCTGTATTCTACTGTATGTGATAAACACCTGTATTGTATGTGATAAACACATATTTTCTACTGTATAAGAAAAACACCTATATTCTACTGTATGTGATAAACACCTATATTCTACTGTATGTGATAAACACCTATATTCTACTGTATGTGACAAAAACCTATATTCTAATGTATATGACAAACACCTATATTCTACTGTATGTGATAAACACCTATATTCTACTGTATGTGATAAACACATATTTTCTACTGTATAAGACAAACACCCATATTCTACTGTATGTGATAAACACCTATATTCTACTGTATGTGATAAACACCTATATTCTACTGTATGTGATAAACACCTATATTCTACTGTATAAGACAAACACCTATATTCTACTGTATGTGACAAACACCTATATTCTACTAGATGTGATAAACACCTATATTCTACTGTATGTGACAAACACCTATATTCTACTGTATGTGATAAACACCTATATTCTACTGTATGTGATAAACACCTATATTCTACTGTATGTGATTAACACCTATATTCTACTGTATGTGATAAACACCTATATTCTACTGTATGTGATAAACACCTATATTCTACTGTATGTGACAAACACCTATATACTACTGTATGTGATAAACACCTATATTCTACTGTATGTGATAAACACCTATATTCTACTGTATGTGATAAATACCTATATTCTACTGTATGTGATAAACACCTATATTCTACTGAATGTGATAAATACCTATATACTACTGTATGTGACAAACACCTATATTCTACTGTATGTGATAAGCACCTGTATTCTACTGTATGTGATAAACACCTATATTTTACTGTATGTGATAAACAACTACATTCTACT